TATGATTAAATTCAGCATTTGGCTAACGCCACACATACATCTTTCCATCTGATCCGTGCAAATTAAATTTGCTTTCGTCAGTAAACAGAACCTTAATATAATGAAAACTACCAATAGAAAAAAATATATATATGTTTAACTCTTTTTTTAATGTTCAGAATACATTTATATTAGAAAAACTTTTGTCCGATTATGCGATGGAGCCACTGTATATATGGGAGCTATATTTAAATCTGAACCGATTTTTACAAATTTTAATAGTGTTCGCCCTTGGGGCAAATAAATGATCTGTGCCAAATTTCATCTCATCCGGATAATACATGCGGCCTTACAATTTAACATGGACAGACAGACGAACATGTATAAACGGACTCTCGTTTCCATTTACCTATTACAAACATATGCACATAGACATAATATCCTGTACCACAGTGTGGTACCGTTAATTGGAGATGAGGGTGGGCCTATCTTAAAATGATTTTCATACATTTTAAGATAGGCCCACTGTTACTAAATGAGGATTGAAAAGACTTAATTATTTCGACTCAAAACAGGTCTAAACTTATCAAAATCTCCATAACAAATAAAAAACATTTAAAACTCATTTTGGGGTTAAAACCTTTCTTTAGCCGAGCTTGTACCAATTTTTCCCAGAAGATGTAGTTTTAGAAGGATGGTATCAATGACAAAAATATTCTCCATCAAATTTTAATGTCTTGTCACTGAACAAGAAAAATCGGTATATATAATATACTAGCTGAACCCGAGGCGCTTCGCTGCCCACACTAAAGTTATTAACATTAGATAGTTAACGTCGAAAACTATTTGTAGGTATTTCGTAGTATAATATTAGTAATAATTTCGTAGCAGTCAGTCTATATATTAGTATATTTGATTCTATTCAATAGATTATAAATAAATTTTTAAAAAATTTTTGAATAACGGTGGTAGTTTTAAAAACAAATTTAGCTTGACTTTTCTAATCAGTTATTTACATGTTTCTCATTAATAGTTCCAAGACCACTAAAATCTTTCATTTACATTACAGCAACTTTCTATGTCTGTATTCTCAACTATTTCCCCATGATATGATTGGGATCCCTTTCTCACTCCGATTAATATCGCTTATATACCTGACGTAGGATCCTTGTTAAATTTGAGTTGTGTATTTTTAATTGTTTCATTGCCAAGAAATACTAATAATGCATTATCACATCATAATATTTTTACCGAACCCAGATATAGTATTGTTATTCTTAAGAAACCATGATCAAGTCCGAAGATAGGATTTTTGGCATTTGAATTAGTCATTTCCTCTATACATCCTCGATATATATCAGCTATAATGATAAGCCACCACAGATTTCGGACTTTTATAACTTTTATTCCACAATTAGCATTTCTCATGTGGATATCTCCCATATTGAATTCATAGTCTTTTTCTTCAATGTTGGTTGAATTTTTAAAATTAAAAAATTCAAATTTTATTTTTATTCACAAATTAACGAAATGTATAAAATAAAATGTCAAAATTTGTTTCATTTTACACAAATTTTATTCGAATATGTAGATAATGGAGAGAGGAAAAACAGCAGACGTTAGCGGAATTACTGAACTGGTGGTGTTTACCATTACTGATAATAACATAAAAGGACCAAAAATGATGAGTCGAACATTATCGATTTGGACCAATTTTGTAAATTCCTGGTAACTTAAGATTAGTATGTAATTATCTGCATATCATACAAATTTGTATGAGCCGATTTATTAAAGATATTCAAATATATGCACAGAAAATGAATATTAGTTCAGAGGTATGATTACTGTTGATGTTATAATTCCATGTCATCGCGGAATTTTCGAAGTTTATCTTGCCTATCTTACTTACATGGGTTGACATGACTTACAGCAAAAATTTCAGTAAAATCTGTTTAGCGGTTTTTGTGTCAGCAACCAAAAGAGTTTCAATTTTCTACACTTAGATTAATTAGATGCAGTGAGGAGTATATTTTCCCATATTGTACCACGCCAATTTTTATAGGGATGATGCGTATTTGCTACCAAGTTACTCAGACAAATTTTGAAGTGGGCATCAGGGATGGTTCGTGTGACGAATTTTTAGGTTTTCGACTGTCAAAAAGGTGTAAACGTCGAAAACGTCATATACCTGTATAAAATGTAATAAACGTAGTAAACGTCATTTATATCAATATTATCAGCATATACAGTTATTTTCAAGAATATATATAATTTTTACATATATCTGACTATTCCTTACTAGAACTGATAAAAATTTCTAAATTTTTTTGAGAAGAAAATTTTGAAATTTTATATCGATTTGAGTAAAGCATGCGTAATTCCCAAATTGATTAATGGAAATAGCTATTTTGTCAAAAACCTAATGGATTTAGGTAGGTTTCCGACGTTTCTGACGTATGTATTATACGTCGGAAATGTATGTCATTTACGTCACGGTTTCTGACAGGTCATCTCTGGTGGGCATCTGTAACCCTTCATAAGATATAAGCCTAGAAAATGAATATTAGTTCAGATGTATAATTACTTTCGATGGGATAACTCCAAATGCACGCGAAATTTTAGAAGTTTATATAGCCTATATATTACTTCCCTCGGATGGCATGATGTGCGGTAAAATTCTCAGTAAAATCTGTTCAACGGTTTTTGAGTAGAAACAATATTTCTATCGATCTTATCTCGCTCATATTTCTATGAATAATGTATGATTTTTCGATATAAGCACTGCATCCACCCAAAATGGATGCTGACATTTTGAAGCCAGATTTTCCGTGTTTTTTGAATTTTTCTTATAATTAGGATGCGCATCCAGATAATAGAATAAACTAATTATAGGATTGTAGAACTCGTGATTCTGCTTCGTTTAGTGTATATCTCATGAATGTCTCACTGTAACTTCTTTGCAATTGGGTTCCAAAGACGAAAATTTGGTGCGTAAATTTTTATAAAAAACATATTTTTTGAGTCTAAAATTAAGAAAGTCCTTTCAAATTCCGTGGAACCCCGCATGATTTTAGATTTTTTACGTGCCGGATCTAATGAGCCCATCCATATTCAATTCCGTCCAAAAAAACGGCGGATATAGGTACCTTGAATGTGGAAAAAACAGCAAAAACTTATTTTGACAATATCGCGTAAATAATCGCGGTTTTCTTCGAATTAATTTTACATGCATTTATGCTTGTATTGTTAAATTCGCGAATCTGTGTGGAAATAGGTCAAAAATACATCGAAACGCGAATAATATGCGTATTTTATCCAAAATTGATTGTGGAGGCACATCCGCGGTTCTTAACCGATCCTTTTAAAATAGGTGTCCTTTTGTGTATTTTCATAGGAGATTACTGAAATCGGATGCGCATAAAAATCGTATGCACGTTGCGTGATTTTTAGCCATTTTTAGGGTTTTTGCATGGTAAAGTGCATGAGCACCAGCCCATGACCGCTATATTAAACATCGAAAAATTCATAATTATTGAAAGACATTGATTCGGTTTATACGAAAATCTCATGCGCATCAACTGATTTCTACTAATTCGCAAAGTGCAAGCTTTTCAATATTGATCATTTTTATGTATTGTAAGTGCAATATATTTAGCCATTAATGACGTCGAAACTCTTATCAGATGAATCTATCGATATTTAACAATCATCTAAAAGAATTTGCAGAAGAAAGCTTCGTATATTTTAGAAGATTAGGACAAAACCGCATCCTCTTAACCATACTAAAAAATCGAAAATTCAAAAAAAATTTTGTTTTAATTCAAAAATTAATTTATTTTATTTTCCGATATCTTCATGTTTCTATTTGTTTTTCGCGACTATTAAACCGTATTTCAGTGTGATTTGACTAGTATGCAAAGAAAACAATGGTGTTTAAGCATTTGTGAAGAAATTCGCGAATTACAACGAATATGAATCCATTTAATTTATATTTGAAATACAAGATTTAAAACCGCTATAACTTTTGTGCGCAGCATCCGAATTTGTGAACGCGAACAGATTTCGAATCAGCATATTTTTCTTAACCCATGTACCAAAAATCATAAATGTGCTCGCAAAAAAAAATTTCAAAATTTTTTTAATGGAATTTTAAAAGAATTTTGTAATTTCCCATATATAGATATAGATATATATATAGACGTCAATTTGGGACAAAATGTTAAAGCAATAGTAGCAATCTTTCTCAGAATCATGTACGCCTGTCGGTTGAAGTGTAGATAGATCTTTGAAATTTTGGACACACATTGTGCAATTTTGCGTTCTGGGATGGTGAAAAATGTTTTTCCAAGACAGTTTAGTTCCATTTTCCAATGAAGTCGTTGTATGTTGGTATTCCCGAGTCTGAAATACATCTTCCATTTTTTTCCATTTAGGGGTTTTTGTGGCTGTTACACTTCTGCACAGAAAGTGCTCCCTATAAGTACATGTTTTGATATAGTCCCCGCACTATTGTTGATATTTTGAAGGTTTTAACCGCATCTTCCCTAATTTGGTATTCCGGTTTTGTAGAAACTAAGATTTCTCACTAATTAGACACAGCATCCGCCCAATTTTCAGCATTTTAGGGCATTTTCTAACCGAAAAAGCGCTATAAACTTCTTCTAAGAAATTTTTCAATATAGCTCAAAGTTTTTCAGTATTTTTCATTTTGTAAGAGTATACACAACCTATCAGCAGAAAATTTACAATGACAAAGTCTCCATATGAAGGTCCCGGTTTCTTAAAGAGATTTTGTAATTCCACATGGAACTTCAGAATTCAGCTTTCAATTTTGGAACACACTTAAAATAAATATTTTTCACAAATCAGCATTCACTCGATAACTAAGTACTGTGTGAGATTATACAATGCTCAATGTGATAAAGCGATAGTTCCATAAAATGAAAATTAAGTCAAGTCTTTTAAGATTTTTAATATCTTTATTTCATTTGCAAAGATATTTGTTTTAACATTTTTTTTTTTAGATTTTTATGTTGTTGCAATATTTTGTTGTTTTCATATTTACAGTTAAAGAGTAAAGATAGAAAATGGAGGATAAGGCATAGTTAGGTGTAGAGTTTTGTGTTCTGTTCGTAGATGTTGTTGAATTGTTGCCATTATTCTGGGACTTGGTGTACAGGGCATTGGATCGATGATGGTAAATAGATTGGACCCAGTAACGCCTCCTTGACCAGATGGTAAAGTTTGTGTGTGCTAGTGGTGAATTGGTATTGGAGGACGTAAATAATCGAAAGAAACTCCTTAGATGTGGAAAGGGGATTTAAGCTGAAGCAAGAAGTAATGTAGCGCAGACTATGTAAAACCAGTTTTATCAGTTCGTTACCGCAATGGCTATCTAGTGGGTTCCAGGAGCAGGGGCTAAATTGACTGAGGTGGCGGAGTTAATGTGACCAGCCAAAGGAGCAGTGTGAACGGCACCACGAGTCTTAGCAACATAAACACCTGGTCCATGGGCAGCACTTGGTCCGGGACCTTGGCTCAATGAGATACCGGGATAACCACCCCAGGCACCATGACCAGCAGGACCCCAAGCACCATATCCAGCAGGTCCCCATGGTCCAGCAATACCACCCCATACACCGGCGGCATGAGCACCAGCCCATGGTCCACCCCAAGGTCCAGCCCATGGGGCGGGTCCGGGCACAGCTGGAGCAACAAACGATACACCTGGTGCAACCTGAGCTGTTAGCAAAGATGACTGGACACCGGCGGCAAGGGCCAACATGACTACGGCAAATACGAACTGAAATGTAAATATTAAAAGGATATTGTAGTGATAGGATATATTGCACAACAATATGTTTTTTTACACAAATTACCTTCATGTTGAAGGATTAGAGGATAAGGATATAGACGATGAAAAATGAACTTCAAGCAGTGTTCAGTGAACGCTTTACAATTCGATTCTATGCTGCTAATTGAAAATTTGCTAACTTTTATACACAAAATCTCGCCTGCGATATAAAATATTTCTGACAATTTTTTTTTTTGTTCTTTTTTTTGTCTGCCACGCCAAAAATTAAACGAACAAAAACCAACAACAAAATCTAAAGCATTAAAAACTTTGGCCATTGTAATCAGAGTACCAAAACTTACATCAGCCACCACACACTAACACAATTACCCAGTTCGAGTATACGAGCGTTATAGCAGCAAGAGAAGTTGTAACAAAACAGAGGATAAGAAGTGCATGATTTGCTTTTGTTTTGTTTGTTGTTTAAATGAAAGCAAGCAAGTTACATTTTTTTTTCGGACCAAGTACTAAACTCCTTTCCCAAATATTGTAATGCGTGTGTTCCTATTTAGGACATTGGAGATATCAATATGAGATATTTTCTTGTCGATTCGATTTGTTGTCGACCTTTAAAAGTTATTGAAATTTATGGAGACTACAATTTAGATGTCATAGTAATATATGATACAATTGTGCAAGGAACATAAAATTATATACAGTGATTACCACACATGACTCCGATTTTGATCTAAGGATTTCCTATGGAAGTGAAAAACCCATTCCAGAATATCTACTACAAAACAAGTTATATATGGAAGCTATACGATATACTACGGACCAGGAATCCAATTTTTCACAATTTTGTGAATATAATTTATATTTGAAAGATGTTATACAACATTGACACGTTTTAAAATATTAGCGTGAAATGACAGTCATTTAAACATATTGAACTGGTTATTTTAATCTATACTAATAAAAGAGTAAAGTGATTGACAAATTGACTGACTGATTTAACGATTCATCAACGCCCATACGAAATGGCTGAAGCTAGAGTATTGAAATTTTGGGTGAGGATCACTTTTGGTCCAAAGGTGATAGATAAGGCTGGGGGTTTGGAAATTCGTACTAGAACGGTACGAAAAGTACTAAAATTAAATTTGGTAAATTTCCTAGCATGTGGACGGAAACAAAAGTTTTACGAATAGGCATCATTTTAGTTGGTGCCTTCTTCGTAGACCTCTTTCGTTTCTGCCCAGAGACGGACGGCGACAATACAAATTCATCGAGTTCCTGGTACTTATTAAACAGATTAGAAACATTTTCAAAGCGACTTGATAATGATGTAAAGTCTTTCTTAATGGATACAAGCTCCCATTGCAAGTATTTTACAAAATTATAAAAATCGGCCGAAAGTTTTCTACAGTGAACACAGCACCAACGAACGCCAACATTGTCTCAAATACTTTCGCGTTGGTACGAGCACACTTAACATGTTACTGATTTAAGCAAAACCAACAATTCATCTTCGTTAGAAATGTTACACAATTCATACGGACAGACAATTGTAAAATTTTTTAATTCAAATATTTGTTAAACAAAAAGTAAAATTAAACCAGTGAGCAGAGCAGTATAGTCGGACGGAGCCGACCATATGATACCCTACACAACTTCGACGAACATCTAACTTTCTGTGGTACTACTTTCTGAGCTTGGGCAATACTTCGCGATATTTGCACCCTCTTGACCGACTAGAGGTCAAAAAATATTATTATTAATAATATTCAGTACAGCCCTTGTAATTACTTGTCCAGACTTCCTTCACCGTGGGTTGTGTTGTAATGTTCGGTTTGTAATTGCGTTTTCGGTCCACTTCATCCCAATATTATTATCTGATCGTCACCGAAAATTATAGGAGTTGCCCTTGACCATACCTGGATCATAGTAGAGATTTTCAAAGCGATCAGCGCTATATTTTGGCCCTCTAATGTGGTAATCGGTTACTAAATAATATCTGAATACGTAAGCACCTGTAAATATTTACGTGTAACTCCCACATCCGGGTTCATACGACAATGTAAATGGTATCAACTTTTTGGGTCTATATCCTTCAGGGGAAAATATTCAGTACAGTTATTGTCCAGTATTCCCTTCACTGTGGGTTGTGTTGTGATGTTCGGCTTTCATTTGTGGTCTATAGATCGACTCGAAAATAACACAAAAAATTAAGTTTTCGGTCCACTTCATTCCAAAATTATTATCTGATCATCACCGAAAATTATAGGCGTTGTCCTTAACCATAACTGGAACCTCATGGAACATTTCAAAGCGATCAGCGCTATAGTTCCGCTCTCTAGTGTGATAATGGGTTACTATTTAATATACGAATACAGAGATACCTGTAAATATTTAGGTGTAACTCCCACATCCGAGCACATACAACAATATAATTGGTATTAATTTAAAGGTCAACCACTCTTCTTGGATATAATATAAACTTCTCGGGTCTATGTCCTTCAGGGGTAAATATACACGCTATAGAATACAAATTTTGTAATTTTTCACACAAAAGTCAGGGTTCATTTGACGCGCTAAATATTGACCGATCTTTATCAAAACAGACATGCTTATTCTTTGACCCAATCCCCTTTTCCATGGAAAATTTCACGATGTTCGGGCCATTATTGCGGCCTCTGGAGCGACCGACAAAAATTTAGTAAATGGTCAATTTCATCCCCTAAATATTAACCGATCTTTCCCAAAAACAGTAGAAGATTGGTCCATAACTGTGGCCTGTATCGTGTTTACAAATTATAATGGACAGACGGACGGACACATATGCCTAGATCGACTCAGCTAGTCGAGATATGACGGTATACTTAAAGGTGGGTCTAGGACCAATATTTCGCGGCGTTACAAACTTCTGGGGCTGCACAAAGCTATAATACCCTGACAACATAGTTGTGTAGGGTATAAAAAGTAGCTGGAATTCGTAATCCTATGATTTCTACAAAATAAGTATTATTGGCAATTTCGTTTGAAAAGACAATAAGAAAATAAACAAAAATAATGTTACAACAATCAAATGAAGAAATGTAACAAGGGAAACAAACAGAGAATGGAACACAGAATACCAATTAGAAAATAAATTGATTTTTTTTACTTATCACAAAAATTCACTACACCAATAAGCACAGGCAAATCAAAAATAAATTTTAAACACTGTTAACACTTTTTAAGATTCACAAACGGGTTAAAAAACACAAAATAAATATTTTTAATCAAAAACACGGAGCACGACAAAAATTTATCAACAATCACGACAGGGTTGCCAATTTTGTGCTGGTACTTTATTTGGTACAAATTTGATTTGAAGGTGCAAATCGAGCTGGAATTCTGAAAATTTGATGTAACATTACCGTCGGAGTGTAGGATTAGGATATGTACGTAGCTTTGGAAAATTTTTACTTATGTGTATGAATAGTACTAAATCGTACTATAATTGGTACAATTTGGATTTGGGTGAACCGATAGAGCTGGAGGAATGAAATTTGTCAGGATTCAGTTTAACAAATTAATACTTATGGGTACTAAATGGTACTAAATTTGGTACAATTTGAATTCTAGGTGAACCAATAGAGCAAGAATCATGAAAATTGGAGTCAGTATCACTGTGGAGGTGTAAGAAGTTTTAGAAATTCGTACTAATCTGTACTAAAAGTTTTCGATAGAGATTCATGTTTTATTTTTTATTTATTTATACAAAATATGTACAAAATTAACTTATAGTATTATTTTTAGAGATGGCTATATAAAAACCTTAAATATTTAATTTATAATTTAATTGAATATATTGTATTACATACTTATTAAGGCCTAATGGAGAAGGAAAAGACCTCCATTTAAAAAGAGAACATGAAAATTATACATTTACATGTTCTTGTCGATAAGAGTGTTTACTAGTTTACATGTTCTGACATAGTCTCACACCTTTTGCGGTATATTAAATACCGTTTTGATGTATTTCTGTTTCTCGGAAGTTTAAACTTATTTGTAGAATTACAAATTACAGAAACCTAGGTTGGAAAATGACTTTCAAAATGCCTAAACAGGTCTAACATAGCTTGGCTGGACTGGCAACCCTATTTTAGATACGATACCCTACACAACTACCACGGAACTCTAACTTGCTGCGGATGTTTATTCCAAGCCTGGGTAATATTTCGTGATATTTGCCAAATCAGAGGTCAACCGCACCTCTTCCTTACACTTCCTTATAATTTTGGCCTATAGATCGACTCGAAAAAAATTAAGATTTCGGCCCACTTCATCCCAAAATTGTTATCTAATCATCACCGAAAATTAAAGGCGTTGTTCTTGACCATACCTGGGATCTCATGGAAAATTTCAAAGCGATTAGCGTTACATTTCCACACTCTAGTGTGGTAATGGGTTATTAATAATGTCTCAGTACGTAAACACCTGTAAATATTTAAGTGTAACTCCCACATCTGAGTACATACGACCAATTTAAAGGTCAACCACTCCTCTTGGACATACTATCAACATCTCCGGTCTATATCCTCCAGGGGCAAATATATACGCCATAGAATACAATTTTTGTAATTTCAGGGTCCATTTGGCCCAGTAAATATAGACCAATCTTTATCAAAACAGGCATGCTCATTCTTTGGCTCTTTCAAGATGTTCGGGCCATAATTGCGGCCTCAGAAGCGACCAGAAAAACGGACAAAAATTTAGTATTTGGTCCATTTCATCCCCTAAATATAAACCGATCTTTACCAAAAACAATAGGGGTCTTCATTGGCCACAACCCATCCTACATGCAAAATTTCGTTAAGATTGGTCCATAACTGTGGCCTGTATCAACAAATTATAATGGACAGATGGACGGACGGACACACATGTCTAGATCGACTCAGCTAGTCGAGATATGACGATCGGTATACTTAAAGGTGGGTCTAGGACCAATATTTCTATAATACCCTGACAACATAGTTGTGTAGGGTATAAATAGTAAAGTAGCTGACAAGCGTGCTCGATGTGGATCGCAGTCATTCAATATAGCCATTGATGATCTTAGCTACCACCTTGACAAAATCAACAAGATTTAAAACTAGAAAGCAAAAACAAGATGGACTGAATGATCTATATGTAGGATCTCA